ACGATGTAGACTGTAGAATACGTCTACAAAGTAGACTTCTAAGAAGGTCTACAAATGTGTAGACTTCTCTCTATTATGTGTAGACTTGCAAAGGACAGAACCGTAAAATAACTGTCTGTTTTTTTGTTTGGTCACAAGGGTTAAGTAGTAACTTCATAACCCCTTTAGGTTGGTTTTGCATTTGACTCAATAAGGGGTATACCTTTAGGGTTGAAATGAAATTTTAGGTTGGTTTTGGCAAATTAAATTGTGTTAATATACTTAATTTAAATAATAAAAATTGAAATTTTTAGTACTATTCATTACTATATTTTAAAGATTATGCTTATGTGTCAAACTTATCTATATTATTGAAAGAGAAATACTAATATACACTTACCCTTTTAATTAATACTTATTTACATTTCAATGTTACTGAAGTAATAACTACTCCTATTTTTATGTCCTTTTTGTCTTTACAAAATTAAATGCACAATAAATTCAGTTTATGTATAATTAATATTTACCATCAATTAAAATTTGATAAGCTATACATTATTAATTTGAAGTATTTCGACCACTACAATTTTATTAAAATAGGCGTCCATTGATACAATACAAACCAATTTCTAATTTTAGTTATTTATATATTTGCTCACTCCAAACTATTTTCCTAATAGAACATTTGATTTCAAAATTCATCTATGTAGCACTTCTTATTCATTCATATTTGTTTATTGGCACTAACAAAACTGTTTATCAAATTTATTAGTATTTATATATTTTAATGTATTAAATTCTACATTTACTATACAAACATTGTGGTTACCCTACTCATAACTAACAATTTTATTTAAGAAACACACTTTGAAATCATAACAAACAATTCTCATTGTTAACAAATTTTGTTATTTATTTAAAATCATAAATAAAAAAAGAATTAATTTCGTTCACAAAAATATTTGCAATATTCTATATCTTAAAATTGGAAATAATCATTTGTCACTTAAATCATAATATTTCTATATATTGGTGACTAAACTAATTTCTACAATCTAGCTAAACATTAAATTATATTATATAAATGAAATTTTGTACTGTTGAATAAGAATTAATTCCTATAATCTAGCCTAGGGTAGATATTTGGATATCTGTTCCGATCGGTTCAGATCTATTCGGTTTTTGGGTTTTCAGAGTTAAAGAGTCTCATTTAGGTATTCATAAATTTTGGCCTGAGTTTGGTGGATACCATGTTTATATTATTTTAGAAATTTAAAATTCATTTATACTTCACATTCTCAAAATCTAAAAATAAAATTAATACACGTGCAGTCGCATGGATCAAGATCTAGTATACACTTAATTGATAAGACGACTTAAGGAGAAGAGATAAAACTGTTATTTTATATATATATAGATAGATAGATAGATAGATAGATAGATAGATAGAAAGATAAATAAATATATTAGTCCACATAGGCTCATATATTAGTCCACATAGCCTCAGATCGCTACCTAGTTATAGTAACATATAATTATGTTTCTATTTAGTATACTCCATATCATTATTAATTAAATAAATATTTGATTTTTTTTTTTAATTTTAGCTTCTTAATGATAAAACAGAAAAGCATTTGAAAGTGATATTTCGAGAAAATGATCATTAAAAACATGAAATTTCAAATTAAAGCCAAAAAACCTCCAACTCATGTTTGAGCCAAAAAAATCTTTAACTTTTAAATATTGGTTGTTTTAACTTTTATATTTTGTTGACTCGGCCATTTAATAAACCCAAATAGTCAATACTTAAATGCGATTATAAAAATAATTGTATGTTAACTCTCTAAACGATGTCGTTTAAAAAAAAGAAAAGTTAAGCAACATTGTTTTGCTTCTTTTTGATAACTATGAGGATTTTAAAGATTTTCTAGATTAAAAAAAAAACTAATCCTACGAGATCTTACATCAGGTAATGCAAGTAATCCATCTAAATGGCATATCGATCTAGATGACCAAGGAAAATCGAATCAGTGGTGAAAGTTCTAATTGAACCCCTTTACCACTAAAAAATTAAAAGTGAATTTACTTATGAGTTATACTAAATAATTATGCATGCATCCAATTGAAATTTATTGTGAAGATCTATCTGAAAAAATATATGTGTTGTCCAATTTCGTGCAAGATCTGCGTCATCTATACAACATTTAATAGTAAGATCTTAAAACTTTTATTACTATCAAATTTTTTTAGTGGAAGCCCCCTTGATCCAGTGGTTTGACTAAGGGTTCATTAATGCTTCTACACCTAGAGGTCTGGGGTTCAAACCCCAGAAAAAACCAAATTATGCAGATTATGGAGAAATAAGTTACAAGAGATCTTCAGCCTGGTGCAGGGCGTACCATCGAACATGGATCTCATAGGACGGCTCGGAGTGATGCAGTCAGGCGTGTATTCTCACAAGATGGTAGAATTGTCGGCTGTAAAATCGTCTATGTAATATCTCATCGTTGTAATAGCATAATTAATCAGACGTTAAAAAAAAAAGACTACTATCATTATTGGTTAACAAAATGCTGACCACTCAATGTATAAATACAAAATCTCTCCCCTTGCCTTAGCTTGTCTTTTTATATATATCTAGTGCGCAAGTTAAAAACTTCCGAAACAATTAAAGAAAAAATACCCTTCGACCAAGAGTACTTCTTCTCATCGTAGCATGGCTTCTGGTTTGATTTCCCGTGTTCTAATAATTTATGCTTCTTCAAAAGTTGTCAAAATCGTTGACCTTTTTTAATCGTCGACTATTTTCTCTCATACTTTCTGCGTAGAATTGATGAGTGGATTTGCTGACATATGATAACTTATGCAGGTAGTGGAAACGTGCGACGCTTTTATGGACCGACTTATGTGGTTGAGCCCAAAGAAATGCATAAAGCAAGTATAGTATGGCTGCATGACCTCGACCATATAGTTTATCTTGTGTTCTTTGTATACAAAACTGAAAAGATGAATTTTGCATTATTTTGTAAATAGTTTATCAGTTTTGCATCTCTGTGCTAAATATAGTTTTCCGAACATTTAATATTTATTTATAAATGAATTTTGTGGAAACACAAAGAATAATATATATTCCTGTTAGTTTCCTCTGAACTTGTCTTTAATTAAAATATTAATTTCGTTTCACTAAAGTTGTATGTAGATTTTTTTCTGTCAACTAGTATTTCTTTGTGTACTTCTAATTATATATAAGTGTATTCTATCTGCAGCTGTGAGGAGCCTCTGGAACTATTAGAACTTCCCAGTGTATGGATTGGTCCATTAACATACATTTTTGCCATGAATTTAGTTTTAGATAACCAAAATGGTAAATTAATCATTTTCTATCAAAAATATATGATTTGTCATAGGTCAAATGGATTTGCCTGACTGCTCCCACACTCCCCGTTACTTCTTTGGGTGGAAAAACCGCCACTGCGTGTAAGATTTACTGATTTTATTCTTACGTTTTGTTTTATTACATCAATATTTGATGTTTATAAAATATTATTTGAAAATAGAACTAATAATATTGCATTTATAATCATCTATGATGAATCAGGGTGCGACATCACAAAAGTTTCAGAGGGCATGCAACATGATTTCGAATCTTTGGATTATCTGAATTCATATATTGCTGACCATTTATTGGCTGAACCAACGAATGGTAAATCCAGAATTATATATACACTCATAGCATCTCCATGGTTAAAATACTCCTATTTTGTTAACTCTCCTTGAAATCTATCATCAATCTTATACTATTATGTTTAATATTGTTTAATTCAGTTATTAAAATTATAAAAAGTTAAATTATATATAAGAATAAATATGGCAAATAATAATTTATATGGTTCTCAAAAAAATTATTTCATAAACGGTTATCGTTTCTACATTTTTTTTATTTATCTGAGAAACAAATTCACAGACTGCCTCTGGAATGCTCTTACCATGTCGTTTAAATATACAGTACATCAAATATGCATTTTTTTAAGCACTACATCATATATGCATTGTGAAGTATTTTTGAGGATGTAAAATTTTATTCAGTATAATATTGTTTTAAGGAAGTGCATTGTTTACATCAAAAAGAATAAAAAATGCTTAATATAAACGATGCAGAGAGTTATTAATTATATCAATTATTATTTAAATAATTGTAATTATCGTCGGTTTTTGGTAGTTATTAAAGGAGTAGGAGGTTTTGGCTTAGGAGCAGCAGCAGCTCTCTATTTTGCAACTTCCTGTGCCTTTGGACAGGTCAAGATAAATCCACAAATTGTTATAGGGATCAACGGCTGGCTTCCTGGCTTGGCGTAAATTCTTGAAGCCCTTATGTCACAGTTTTTATAGTTTGAGTTACGTACCTTCTAAATTCTAATAATGGGAAGTCAAACTCAATTTGTAGGAGCTTACAAACCAATATGAATAACGCTTTTGGGACTTTTATTCGTGCTGGATCGCAACGACTCCTACTTTTACATGGAACGTGTATGTGTTATACGTTCTACTCATACATGCCTATCTGATTAGTAATTAAGTAACAACTGCAATTGATCATTCTAATTCTTATGTTTTTGTTTGTTTGTCACATGCAGCTGATGATGTAGTTCCCTCAGAATTTGGATACAAATGTGCTGTTTCCCTTCAAACAAATGGATTTCCAACCATGTTCAAACAATGCGGAGGGTCTAATAAACATCGACTACTTCATTTTGTTTTGCTTTAATTATCCTTGTAGCATATTTTCTAAACTTGGTTTATGTCATTTTGCAGCAATCATGTAATCCAAGAGATAAGCGGTTGGCTCAAACAACACTTTCTACTCTGAAAATGAAGTTAAACTCTGCATAAAGAAAATAATTGGGGAAAAAATATTGTGCCGTATGAGCTACTCTTTATTATTAACCTTCATATAAATTATTATATATTTTGGGTTTACCTATAATGTAATCAAGAAATCTTTTTTTAAAAAAATTATCATGCAGTAATTACAAAAGACTATTTATATGATCCTATCTTTATATGAAAAAAGATGTTCCTTCTTTCTTGATGTGCCACATCACTAAATCGAACTCTCACAGCACTCCACGTATCCGCTTTCCATGATTCGCAGTGTTTCATTAACTTGCGACTTGATGTGCATTGGGCATTATCTGTTATCTTTCTGACAATGTGTTTATTGGCTCTGGTAACTGGTTCGATAAGCCAAATTATTCAGCCGTAACTATGCTTTACGTGAAGAAACTTCTCCACATTCCACATCGAAGCATAGCCCGGGTTCTAAGAGCGTTGTTTCATCTCCTTCCTTATCAGTCCGAAGAGCTACCAGTTACAGATAAGCCATTTTCAAGTCCTTCTTAAATCCATACCCCATGATATCTCTTGAATGCGATCTTAACTCATGGTGGTGGAACTGCAACTATAAAAAGTATACTTTCATGCTATGAAAACCATCTCTTCATTCCGCTTATACAAAGAAAGAGAGCACGGATTGATAAGGCTAAAATGTTTTCTGAAGGTGGCATCGAGATTGACCCTTCGATCGTCGAATCTATCTCCGGACTAATCGTAGCTCTCATTAAGTTAGATCAGATTAAACACTCCAGACTACGGCACGGGTGGTCTACTGCCATCCACACGTTCAACTTTTGCGTTTTTTACCTCAGCATTGGTCCTCCCGATATTGGTAGTCAAGTTAAAGGATTACTATTCGAGTATCTTATAATGGACTTCTTGGATTCTATCTTGCACGAAGTAAGTTTAATTAATTTTCATCTATCTTTATATAATAGTGTTATGTCTTAAAGAAAATTTTCATGCAGGGAGATGAAGCGGACTTTCGAACATCAGTGAGCTTTGATAAAAACAAGTTTGGGATGCTTTCATTAACTTTTCTCCATCATTCACAACATTTAAGGTATTTCTACCTAAAATTGTATCTCAGACTTTAGTGTGTTGTATTTATTGATTCCAAGACTTGTTTTATCCTTTCCAGATGCGAAAGGAAGAATTTGTTGTTCAACTTAAAAGGAATGCTGCTAATATTACGGAGCATGCGGAGATGCTCATGCTGCAAAGATTATTGGTAGCTTCTTATGTTGTTCAACCCATTTTGGATGAACTTAAAACAATCGAGTTTGAACAGGGCCGGGCTTGAGCCCATTGGAGTGAAACATTTGAATGGGACCCCTAATTATATCTTTTTTTCTTTTTTTAGCTATTAATTTTTGAAAAATAATTACTTTCTACATACTATATATGAAAATATATAACTTCTAAATTTATATATACTACTTAAAGCTAAATAATTTATTTTTACCTTTTCATTTTTGCTTTTTAGATAAATTTGTTTTGCTTGTATATTTTAAATATAATTTTCATTTGTTTGGGTACAAAAAAAAATTTTTGGATTGAGGCCCCAATATTGTTAGGCCCGGCTCTGGTTTGAAGACATGGTGTCATTCATTCCTTCTCTACGCTCGAAGGTATTTAATATTTTCAACCTTATGGTTTGTTTAATTCAATTTTTTTTTTAACTAACAATCATAACCTCTTTTTCAAATGTTTTTTGACATAGTGTCATTTGGCGACTTAACTTTGGAAAAAGCTGAAGAGATCTCAAATCTGTTTGATGGCATTGAACCACTTACAAAGATATCTGACGGGTATGGAGTTGTTGCTCTTGATTGTGGCATTGTAGAAATCAAAGCTAATGCTTATAACAAGATAGACCGTGATTCTCTTGTGAAGGTAAAAAGAAAAATTGATACTGCTTGTGTAATTCTCTTGCGAAGTTATGTTTATTATTCGCTCAAGATTTTAATGTTCATAGGTTTGTTTTCAAGTTGAGAAGACACCTAGTGAGAGAGAAACAGCATCTCTACTACTTTTGTGTGCCATGACAACTGAAAATACGTACAATACGTTCAGGTTTGTGTATTTTCTTTCTCTTTACAAAAGAGTAACTGAGGTTCTTGACATATATACTTTTCTCTTTCTAGGATAAGCGAAAAAATTGGATATAATGTCTATTCCAAGTCTCAGTACATTCACGGAGCCATCCACTTTCTCATCGAAGTTGTTTCTTCAGAATACGATACCACTTTTTTGCAGGAAAGAGTCTTTGCGTATGAAAATTCCCTAGGGAAATTTCTTGTAAGTTTTGTTGGTAAATTTAAATTTTATTATCAGGTTGTTTTTTAATGTATGTTGTTTGATCATTTTTGTTTAATGATAACTATAGGATGGGATTAGTGCTGATAACTTTGAAAAATATAAAAATACTGTCTCTAAAGATTTGCCTGATGATGTGGAAAGCTTTTGGAATAATATTGTTGAGCAAAGGTAATATTATTTTTATGATTTGCTTAATTTTTAAGTTATATGAAATCATTATCTGTTTAACTTGCAGACCCGCCCCCTATTTTAACATGAAAGTTTGCGAGCATCTTAAAAACATGAAGAAGCACGATGTCATCAAGTTTTATGAGGAATACATTGCACTAGGTAATAATTTGCGCCTTGCGCGGAATGATATTATTGTTTTTGTTACTTTTAAAATGAAAATGATATTATGTATGTTTAGCATGGATATTGGTTCAGTTTGACGTTGTTTTTTCTTTTAATTTCCTAAACAAAAACTATCATTATAAATCTATATTTATTTTGGTTTTTTTGGTTTAAATGTTTTCTGTTTATTTTTTTATTTTTTCGATGATAACCAAAAACTATTGTTCTTTGTTTGGTTTTGTTTTATATAATTTTAGACATTTTTTTGTCGAACTAATATTTTCCTATTATAATTTCTAAAGACAAGTAAAATCAAATAAAATCTAAATAATATTTGAAGAAAAAAGAAAATAAAATTATTAACACAAAATATTTCACTACAATTTGAGTGATAGTGAAAGAAAACATTAAAAAATATTCAACTTCAATATGAATTAAAATTTTCGCTTATGGTGAATATTTAGTTATTTAGTCTCTCATGTCAATGTGTACATGTATGTATATGTAAAAGTATATAATTGTGATGATAAATATATGAATATACCGTTAATTAAGATTTAAAACATTTTTGTTCAAAATAACACATGATAGTAAATTTTTAAATAAAATTAAGTAAAAATAAAACAAACCTAGAAATTAATAACATTTTTTCATATGAAGAAAATCCAATTGTACCTGTAAACAAGAAAAATAATATATATTACAAAGTGACATCTTCAGTTGGTACCTGAATTCTGTTTTTCGATCAATTTTTTTATTTATATTTATTTTTAAAGCTATTCTAATTTCTGATTTTTTTCTACCAATTTAATTTTGTTTCTAATTCTTGGTCTGATATGAAAACTTTATAAAAATGCTAATATTAGACTAAACTAAAGATCCGACTTTACGTGTGGTGTTTTTCACCTCAGTTTCTTTAATTCATAATCAGTCACCTTCTTTGTTCTTATTGTGTTCTAAAGCCTCAACCATGACCAACTTCGGCAAGATACGAAACTTTCAATTTCTACAAATATTTTCATCGCAACATTTTAGTTGATGTGAATCTTAATGATTTTGTAACTTTTTTACAATAATGATATTATTCATTAGTTTCACTTAAAAAGTTTTAATTTATTAATACAAAGGCTAAAGACTTAGGAAAATGATTTAATTAAAAATAGTGTATAAACACATTAAATAATAAATTTAGAAAAAAAATAGTGTGTGAATGCATTAATTGTCAAATGATTGTGAGACTGACACGTGTCAGTTACGGTATGAACACATTTATTACAATGCCTCTTTTAATATATAAGTGGGGTTGTTCAATATGGTAATACCGAACCGTACCGAACCGAACCGAACCGAAATAGACAATATGGTTTGGATTTGGTATATACCATATAAACCGAATGGATATAATTTTATTAAAATCATAGGATTTAGATATGGTTAGGTTTAACCGATTAAACCAAACAAAAGCGATCAAAGAAAAAAAAATATAAATATATACATTATATAACCATTTATTTTCTTGGAATAGTCTTTTTTTTTACTTTTTTATTCCTTGATAATTTTTTTTCTTAAATTAATATCTAAATTTGATTTGATTTTGCATGTTGTAAGAAATTGTGAAATTAGATTGTACCATATAATTTATTTGGAAGAACAAAGAGAAAATAAGAAAAGTTGTACAAAACTGAATCGTTGGTCGTTTTGTTTGTTATTAATTTCACATTTTTATATTTATGAACACCTAGGATTATTTTAATAAATGATAATTTTGACAATATGTTTTTTTTTTAAATTCATATAATATGAAACCA